TAATAACGGGCGAGAATTAAGTGCTATTCACTCACAGATGAGAATTACGTGTTTTTTGGGGAGTGGGTATTTCGTGAAATATAAGCTGTATTAGCAGGGGATGGTGAATGCTGAGGTGTCATATTCAGCTAGTGCCATCAAGAAATCGGGGACGTTCTCTTCTCTCGCACTAGGTCGCGCGCGAGAAAGCGGCGGCGGCGGCGGCGGCGGAGATCGAAGGCGCGGGCGGCGGGCAACACGGCCGCTTGGGCTGGGCCTCTGGCGATCGACGGCGGCGGCGGCGGCGGCGGCGGGGTTCGGGGTGGGCATTCCGAGGAACGGCCGGCGCGGCGCGGCGCGGCGCGGCTGCGCGATGCTATCGGCGCTGAGCGACACAAATTGGACGGCGGGACGGAGCCGACAGCGCGATGCGTCGGGCGCGCGTGTGAGTTGGGCCGGTAGCTCCCGATGCCTATCAGCGAGCGGGGGCTCGAACCGGCGGGCCGGCCCCCTCCGCACCGCGACACCGGACACCGCTGCCCCAGCAGCACCTCCGAGGCAGCCTGCACCCGTAGGCTCCTTTAGCTCAACTCTCATTACAAGATTCGGAGCACACGTGTAAAAGGACGTGTTATGTTTAGAAATCAAACATTTATACATCTGACCATTCACCAACCGATCTAATATACAACCTGTTTTCTGTTAAGAAGAAAAATATTTAGAAAGCATAGCCGTAAATTTAATTCTATTCTGTTTCGGTCGACAGTTAAAATGTTCATTTTGCAATGATATTACCACGAAAGTAGCTATTTTGTAGTCTAGAAAAGGATAGTAATAGCGAATAAGAATTTTTACTTTCTAGAAATTAACTTTGAGTTTTCTCTTGGAAACATAAATAAGCAGAACTGAAAAGTAATGAAAGAAACAAAAAACATGTTGGGTATCTTTCTGGGGTTATACGGTTTCGCACAATTTACACAGCATCACTTGTATGATCTCCGACATAGCTGGGCGACGGAGGGCGGACTGTGGCCGGAGGTCCAGCCATCAGCGACGCCACTGCCCTACATCCGAACGTGAAAAAGCAGATTCGTTCCTGGCGCGCGGCTCGCACGCAAATGCCTGGCTCCTCCGTGCCGTTCCCGCCGGTCCTACCCCACCCAATTCCGTGTCCACGCCAAACCTCTCAGCTGCGCCACACGCGACACGCTTGAGGCGGAGTTTTCTCAACGATTACATGGATGCGGGAGAGATCCAGACTTCGCAATGGCCGGCTCGGTGCCTCGGAGACCCGTTTGCTCGGGGCACGGCCAAATAGAGGCAGGGAAGTCATTGTGGGGGATCGGCGCTTAGGAGGAGGGGGAGAATAACGGATTCAATATTTTCGCGAACAGTTGCCTTTGACGCTTTTGCAGGAATTATGAAAAAGAAATATCAAAATATGTATTGAGGTGTTCACCTTAGGAATAGAGCTTCGAGTGAAATTAGAACACACGTCTAAATACGTAACTGTATTTACAATGGCATATTTTAGAGTACAACGTATTTTAAATTAAAATAATAAAATTAATGAGAACAAATGAAAAACAATATAATGTGGTTCTTATTACAGCTTAGTTATTTAACTGTGATTGTCATATATAGTACGATCCCGAATTTGACTGTCACTTTTTTAAAGTGTTGACAGAATATTACAAAATGTGATATTTTAGAGAGCAAAGACAGAAAGGTTTGCCTTTATTTACTTGTTTTATTTATTAAATAATTTATTTCATAAGTTATTAAATTTTGCTGGACGCATTGCAGTGCGGTTCGATGACGCAGTCTGCAGCTTTGACTGAAGGGCAATACGAGTTCTGTCGGCCGACAGTGGGCGGCACAATACGTGATAAATCGACCTTGTTAGCGCCCGCCGCGCTGCGCCGCCTACGAGAGCGTTGGCTGCGGGGGCTGGGCTCTCCGTACGCCTCAGGGCGCATCTTACACTTCCTGAAACGAGGGGCTTTACAAAGGAACGAGAACGGTCTACATCAGACCTGCCTAACTCGCTTCAAACGAGCGCGAGCGCCGCTGCGGGTTTCCAACGCGGCTCCAAGCTGACACGGAAGCTATCGCGGGGAGAAGGCCGCTTGCGATAGAGATGCGGTGTAGAGTGTAAGGTGTAGAGTGGGTATTGGGTATGTAGACCTTTTGACGAAAAGACAAGCGAGTGGCGTTCAGAACGGTTTCACGAACGCATCGAGTGGCGCCGAATCGGTGTTTTCCCTGTGAGTGGGTTCAACAAACGCGTTGGTATTTCAAAGAGTTATTTTCTTAATTATACAAACTGTTTAATATTAATTTACGTGTAACAGACACATTTATTTAGTTATTCAAGGTTGCTTGAAAATGTTCTTCCCGGATAAGTCAGTAAAAAACGCCAAATGAAGTACATTTGAACTATTAGTTCGATTCAAAATAAATTTTCAATTGGCTCTTACCCAGTCATCTACAAAGAACGTGTTTTTACACTACTTTTAACGTATTTACGTTTCAAACTTTTTTAAATAAAACCCTTCATAATTTTTTTATGAATTATATTCCTAATTCAAATACAATATCAATACAATTCACAATAAATATCTTCGAAAATTCTCGAAATACCAATCGTTTGTATAGAGATTTTACAAAAACTTTTTAGGTGCGTGAAATTCTACAAATATGCAAATTCAAATAGCTTTGGGATCTGACTTTTACAATGACCACTGCAAAAGGTGTTGCGAGAACGTCAATATCGCTATTTATGGTCGTATATAATACCTATTATATGACTTTCGAATTATATTCTCTTCGACTTGCGCGCTTGCGCATTCTTCCCCTTTCGAAAACCAGAGAGTGAAAAATAATTCGCATTGCCCTTCTGTCATGCACTGCAGAGCCCATTTCTATTAGGCCTTCAACGTCTCCGTACTTCCCTACAAAACCATTTCCCCTCCTTGACACCATGAAACTGGCGAGTGAATTGCAGGACTCGTGCACCGGCCACTGGGCTAAGAAAAATAAGGGGAAAGATTGATTTTAAATCTTGAGCATTATGAATATTTTTTAAAATAAATGATGTCATTAGTATATTCGATTATACTAAAAATTGGCATTTCTGACAATCGTGTACGAAACTATTTTAGCAAGCAACCTCAAGTTCTAAATATTGTATATTGTTCTGTATACACATTCAGACGCAGAAAAGACGAAGAGATACATTTCAAAAAGTGATAATGAGTAGCTCACGGCTCTTATGATCTCCCTGGTTTAACAGTAGCTTGATTTTAATAAAGAAGTACGGCAGTTCAACAGCAACAAGTAGGCGAAAATGTATGAATCTAACAATTATTATTCAAGGTAATTTTATAAAATGTAGAGGAAATTCTTGGAGAAACTTTATTGGATAAGCATGAGTTGCAAGTCATAACTCATAGATTAGTATGACGAGTGATAAGTGCGTAGTAAAGAAGTGAATATATGAACACCTTATTTAAAAAAGCACCATTCATAGTTTTCAAGATCCATAATTGTACAAATAATCGTTGACAAACTTTAATATTCCCTTAAAATTCTTTTCTTACACGTACTGCGAAGGATGGAACATCATAATACATAATCAACCGACAAACAAATATAAATTCTCGTCAGCAACGTTTATACACCTTTTGCTGTTCTGAACCATAATCTAGTACAAAAACTGCATAATCAGTTATTAAATCGTGAACTTTTTTCTAGTTCCCTAAACTCTTGTGTGTTTTCAACATGTACTTGTTATTGTATGCAATGAATTGCAGGAAGGTATATTCCTGGAGTTCATAGAGCTCATTGCGCCGGTCAAGTATTTCTCATATTTCAAATTTATTAGGCGAATGTTGTAAAATGTATCGCTCCCGATCAAACATTATGCACACTAATCATTTCACCTCAGTATTCTTTATTTCAACTCAAGATCTTTGCATAGTCTTTATAAACCATTCTGATGATAAAACTCCACCAAACGTGTTTGAGATACCTTCACCATAACTGTGAACCATATGAATCATAACGTCTCGTACGTATAATTACTTTTATTGCTGTGAGGTTGAATATATAAAATGAGCAACACTTTATCCAATATAGCCTGTTGTAATGGAAAGAGAGATAATTTCTCGAGCCTTTACAAGCTTAGTACTTAGAAAGTGTAAGTAAGTGGTATTCATTTTCACTATGAAGTGAAACAAATTGCTCGGGACAATATGTCGCGATACCAATAAATTAAAATGCACTTTGCTTGAAGGATAGCAGGATATAAGAGAAATATGCATTGGATTCATGCATAATTCATTTCTCGTGACTCACTCGTACTATAAATCATGGCCCAAACTGCACCTCTCGCGCGAAACGAAAATGGCCAAGGTCACATATAAACTTTAACGTAGCTCGGCCGTTCGTTCAGATTTAAATCGTGTCTACTTCATATCTCAACGTGGAGAGCCTGCGATTATTTTTAGCTCAATCTATCTTGAATCAGATTTATAATATAGGAAATAATTGAATTTTAAATTAATGCAACGTTTGATTTATTACATATATAAAGAATATTAAAAATGCGAATAAAACTTTACTCAGGCAACTGACTGATAAAGAGAGAAAGAAATATTACCGACTCATATAGAGTTTAAAATATTTTTGTTGAAAAATTAATATACCAGTCACGAAATCTTATCGATTCCAGTACTACATTAGATTGCCTTGAAGGGCACAACAGTAATACAAACAAGCTCAGTGCTCAGTATGCTTAGTGAAGATGTTAGGGCAGTTCTTCAAGGTCAGTGTCCTCAATGCAATTTATTCATGTAAAAATTTCTGTTTTTGATTTCTGGGAAGTGAAATAATTGTTTGCCATGATATACTAACTTACCCTAACGTTTTTTCAATACAAACATAAAATATGCATTATCTGCACTGTGCTATTGGCTGTCATGATGGTGATTTGTTTCCAACGCTGAAGTAAGACTTACCGGATTTGACGGAGCAGTGGATGTGGCCCCTGGTCTCGTAGTACACCCAGTCGAAGCCGGCCTCGACCGCCAGGCGTGCCAACATTCCGTATTTACTGCGGTCACGATCCGACGTAGTGACGTCGACGGCACGGCCCTCGTAGTGCAGGGAGTCGGCCGCATGGCCACCCTCCTCGTCCCAGCCCTCGATCACGCGCAGTCGCACGCCAGGCCACTGGTTCATCACCGAGATGGCCAGAGTGTTCAGCTTCTCCTTGCAGCGCTGCGCACACATCACACACACACACACACGTTACTCACACCGGGTTGGGCTAATAGTTGGGCTAAATAATAGGGGATGCACAATTTGTTGCTCATTTATTGCTGACGTAGAAGACAAGTAGCTTATCTCAAAAGTCTTTTGCATAAAATGAAACAAATGTAGAAAATTTTACATATTTTCTAGTAAAAAATGACTTAAAGTTAGGTCACAAAACAGGTGAGATATAAAGCAAAACACTGTCTTTGCAAGGTTAAACGGCTCAGCTTAGATTAAACCCGCTCTTCTGATTGTTACGTTTCTTTCGCATGATGTAAACATAAGAAGTCAATTTTTGTGTTTGAATAATATGACAAAACTATGAAAATATTAACATCGAAAGTTAGCTTTTGATTTAGGAATGACAGTCATTTACTACCAATTTTCATATTACAATATATAATAATTATGTTAAAATATTAATTAATAATTATGTTTAAATGTAAGAACAAAAACAAGCAAAAAATTCACCCCTTTAAGGACAACTATATAATGATTCACACACAATCATTGCGATCTCAGCACTGCAAAATTAGTATTTTCTATTGTAAATACAATTTTATCTAACACAGTTTACATAATTCAAATGAAAATTCAGCAGTTTATTCCTCGATGCAAAATTGCAATGTTTATTTACTATTAAGAGTACAAGCAATGTCAGGATGTGCATTATGAAAACTACTTTAAACTTTCTTCTTAAACACTTTAAAGTAGAAAAAAGATAATTAATCGCCTTTTTAACTACCGAAACAGAAAATAAATCACCAAAAAGATGTCCAGAATCCAGAAGCCCCCACAAGAAGGTCTCGTGACAACATCATCAATCAAGGCACTTATCAGCGCAACGAGTGAGAACACGTTTCAGAGCAACCCTCCTCGCCGCCTCTCCCACCGCCGCCCTCTGTGATCTCCGCCCTTGTAAACGCCACTGCGGCCCTCTGCCGAACGTCCTCTGCTCCCAACCGAGCACCCGGCTTTTTCCCAGATATGACTGCTGCCGTTGCTGAGACGTATCTTTCTCCTCCAAGTCGTCTGATTTCCCTATTCCACTCGTAGCTCACCAACTAAGCCGACGATCCGACTCCATTTATCTATTCTGTTCTATTCGTTGTGGCTGCTATCCACGCTTTCTAGTATACAATGGGACTTGTGGTGTCGCACCAAAAATAATCTCATTTGCAGGCGAGTAACTTCCGTCTCTTCCCATTTATAAGGCTTCTCTTTCCAACTCTCCAGCGAATGGTCAGTTGTGTCAGGGTGAAATCTGTCTTGATTTTGTTCAGATGTAGTTGGGTTGAACGTGGTCCATACACACCGATTTAGCTACAGAAATAAATGAAATAATCAATAATCCTCGAATTTTCGGCACTTGAAACTTCCGCTTGAACAGTAATGCTCTGCATCAGATAAGATATGGGAAGTTCAGTCGCACTTGCAAGAGCTGGGGATAACTTTTGGGGTATCTTATTTCGAACTATATATGCCACTTGAAATAAATGAGGTATAATTGAATTTTAGAGATACACCCAGTTTAATTCGGTGGTTAAAATTGGCTACACGTACCATAGATCTTTATTACTATTAGAAGACACAAAATTTCGATATATCACAGACCATTCCCTTCCCTTCGACCCTCTTCGGCACTGTTAACTAACCTCTATAAGCCTGCCGGATTTTTAATTCATCTAACACTCGAAAGCCAGTTGCAGTTGAAATTTTCTTCAATATTGGAAGTAGCGCATTGCGAAAATTTTCACACATTGCAAACCCCCCTTCTTCGCCTCTCTAATAGCGAGAAAGCAGGGTCGCGGACAAGGCTGAGACGCTGACGTTTGTGGGTCGAAATGTCTCCAAAAGTGTGGATAACATTTTTTCTGTTATTTAACGAGAGGACTCTTAATTAACAAATCATAAAGAGAGGTGTAACAAGAAACAATACAAAACGTGTAAGTCTATTTTCAATGATAGTTTCAAGATTTTTAATAAACTTTTGTTTATTTTCATGGCAATAAATTGAATATTCGTGTGGCAATATATTCACAATTTACAATGAAGATACTACACAATATCTTATCACTCTTTAATATTTGTCCTGCAATCGATTCTATATGTATTTCGTCTTTATATGTCCCGTAAAGGTCAATTGGGCTAGGAAGCGTTAGATACAGGGGTTCCTACTCACTCACCCAACCGGGAACCCTCAATGTCTCGAATTCGTTTAACCTTTGTGTCTTCATATAGTTAATATATTTGGTTAGTGACGCCTGCTTCGCGGCCGTGGCCTTTCTGTATAATCATCCGAGTATTGGCCTGCATGGTCCAGGAAAACCACAAAAACTCGAGCCAGGATGGCTGGCATGCAGATTGAACCCACTTCGCTCAGTCCCGATTCTATGGAACGATTCAAAGAACTGATATTAACTATTATAGTCAAAAATTAAACTATTTTATGGTTTTAAATAACGTAGGATTAATTAGATGAACATATTTTAAAGCATTAACGATTTCATTCTATGAATTATGTATGTATGTATGTACTTGGCGAATAGCCCGTGAACGGGCTCAGGCCTACCGGCGACGTCTCTTCCTCGCGGCCATGGGTTGAGGGGGTACGTGTGGTTAGCACGTAGCCATTCCCACGCCGTATTCCGATCTTCTGAACCTGAGAAGTGAATTTTCGCATCGTCACACAGCAACACATGCTGGGACATTGCAAGGAAAACGCACACTATAATCTTGCCTGACGAGGAATGGAACCCGAGGCCGGGTCGTGGAAGGCGAGCACGCTGATCAAGAGCTAGCTACGAGGCTATTCTCCTTGTTGACCTCTACTAATTGGCTCTCGGGCCGCGCCCGTGCGTCTGCGCACTCGGCCCACTGTGCGGCGCCAACCGGTCGGCATGTCGCCCACGCGCATCGCGGCATCTCGCCGCTGACGCGTGTCCGTCGCGTCGCCGCCTTGCTCCGTCATTATCTCCGCGCGACGCGACGCGGCGGGGCGCGCCGCTGTTCTCTCCGGGCGCCCAGCCGCCGCGCCGCCGACAAGCGATATAAATGCCTCCCGAGATAATTGATCGTGTTGGCTGCTTCCTATAACGAGCTGCGCCGTGTTTTAGTCCCGAGGACTGGCGCCGGAGAAATCCTGTTGAAATATTGTGTCAAACACGTTTCGATGTTTTCGTTCATTAGTCGAACATCAACATTTCTCAATGGCTAAAAAACAAAAAAAAAGAATGAGGCGTGAAATGTTATACGCTAATAGAAAAGTACGTCATTAATTTATTGAGAATAATGTTATTTAATTTGTAATGTAAATTATTAGTGACAATCTTCCGTAGTGATATCAAATATAACGAACATAATGTAGCTATTTGCATTCCCCAAATTAGGAAAGCTAATATAATTTCACATTTTTAATGCTGACATACCTTGTTCTGATGGAGTAAGGAAGAATATCGTGCTCTAACTGTATTTAGTAAGATGTAAAAATAAATGAAAGTGAAATAAATAAAACAAAACATCAATATTGAGTTTGAGAGAGTGAAGTTGTATTTAAATTGGTTAAAACACCAATCTTTCAAAAGTATGTTATGGACTTTCGTCCTGGCAGAATTGTAAGTTAAAATCATATAATCTATAAACAAAAACAAAATGTGTTTGGTAAAGTTATAATGTGACAGATATTATTGAAAGTAATGATGGAGTCAACACAAGAGCGCCTTACCTCTATTCTCATTTACTGCAAAAACCTAATAAACTGCGAAATGGTTCATTTACAGCTTTCCGCAATATAGACATACTAATAAAACTCAGTTGAATATATGTGATCTTTGCGAAAAAGGTTGAATTCAAATTAAAGGAAATTCTATGACTGATAATTTATAAGACATTGAATCAATACTTTCGTTCCAGAATGCAAATAAACTGCCTACCTATTTGGAGTAGAAACGCCAAATGTAATACTTTGAAATCAATATGAAAAATATTAATGCAGAGTTAAGACGTTTATTCTATGTCCGCTATGAAGGCGATGCTTCCCTGAAAGAATTATAATTATTTTTAAATTCGGTATGTATTTTATTCATTATTTCAATCCAATGAAACCCACGCAGTCCTAATGGCTCGAGATGGTCGCGTGCAATCGACAGGGCCGCTCACGGCGTGCCGCCGAGCATACTCTGGGCGGCCAGAGTATGAACGGGTCCTACGCAAACGTACTCAGGCCGGCCCCTGAACGAGCATTTGGAGGAGCCTGTGCCTGTGCTATGCAACTTTTCCGTCTGCGACGAGAAGAGAAATGCAACTCAGGACGAAATCTGAGCGATTGGGAAGCTCGATTCCGAAAATGGAGTCTTCGATAATTGCTTGGTGAATAATGGATCGTCTACTTAGCGAGAAGACAGAAATAATATTAAGTGGAAGGCCAACTCTTTTATTAAAACGTATTAATACGACACTGAAAAAATACGAGTACTTCGACATTATATTATTTAGTTGTATTCCACAAGAATAGCTACATGGAAGGCGGAAATTAATATTTTGTTAGTCTCTTTCTAGGAAAGAAATGTCTGAAATCGAACGAGTTTCACAAATACAAAAAATATTCAGAAGAGTATGAAGAGATATTCTACCTGTAAATATTATTTACAATGAATTTTGAGACTGAAAACGTTCGGTAAGGAGCAAAGAATTTGATCAGTGAGCTATTAAAACTTAGTGATCAAAAGTTCAATGGAAAAGTGAAATTGTAAATTATAAAACGTCTTGTCGATATTATTTGGTTCCTGGGTTTTCAGTAACTAAGTTTCAGAGGTCAGATCTAACCAGTGTGTGACAGGACATCGCAAAGATATTGCGTATTTAATGGCAAAATATAATCCGATTACAAAATCTTATTGGGAAAGCGCTTCAATATTTCAAGATATATCCAATACAATATTTTAATCATTTCAAATGCCAGCCAA